CACACAATCTTGAAACTTAATCATCCTCTCATATGATCCTCTCACATACTTAACACTTTCTCTGATTTTATAAAGTGCTTCAGCAGCCACTTTCAAACCTTCTTGAACAATTAAATTAAGTATATGTGCAGAGCAACGTATATGAAAATATTCACCATCACACAACAAAGTATTCTGCAAACGGAGATGGTTTAACAATATAAGCTACATGTTATCATTTGCAGCAGCATTGTCCAAAGTAATAGAAAATACTTTCTTCTCAATTCCCCATTGCTTTAAGCAATCAAATATAGCGGTTTCCAATTCAATCCCAGTGTGTGGAGGTTTCAGTCGAGAAAAATTAAGAATCTTGCTAATTAATTTCCATTTTTCATCAACAAAATGGACAGTTAAACAGATGTAACTCTCGCTGTTAGATGTTGTCCAAACGTCAGAAGTCAGGCATACTCTATTAGGAAGGCTGGACAAGAGTTGCTTAAGTTTATCCTTTTCTTGGATGCATATTTTTTTAATATCAGCCACAATTGTATTCCTAGAGGGCATCACAATATCAGGATTCACATAATCAATCCACACTCTGATCAAATCATATTCAACAAAACTAAAAGCAAGATCATGTTTAATTATGGCTTGTGCAAGCAATTCTCGATGGGTCATTTGATTAACCTTTCTCAAGATAGACTTTTCATGTTGGTCTTTTGATTCAGAGTTTTCCATACTCTTACAAACAGAAATATGACGACTCAAACGTGAAGTTCCATAATTAGTCTTGGTCTTAGGATTTTTACCAATTACGTATTCACGACCACAATAATTACATGTAGCTTTTTCAAAACCATCCTTGTCCATACCAATTTTTGTAAAAGACTTCCAAACATATGATGTTTCTCTCCTAATTGTCTCAACACTTCCAGACATTTCATGAGGAGTTTCAGAAACAACTTCATCATCTACGTTCATAGTCTTATTCACATACTCCATCATACAATTTTTCAGTTCCTATACATTAAATGAAATACAATTATTAAAAAAAAAACGATATCAATAATAATAATAATAATAAAATAAAATAAATTAGTGTAAAGTATATATATATATGAAGATGATCCGCAACAGTTCCATTAGGAATGTACTCATATACAAGCAGAAGTTCAGGACTGTGTCGAGAAGTGCATCCATATAGTGATACAAGATTTGGGTGAACTAACCTAGTTAGGATTTGAACTTCATTTATGAATTGCTCCACTCTCCTGCAATTGTTCTCATACAACCTCTTCACTGCAACACAACGTCCATCTCGCAGTTTTCCTGGACAAGAAACATCAGAAGACATAAATCAATGTAAGAGATTATTGAAAGCACAAACATATAATGATGTGATAAACAATTGGATAATAGTGTAAAGCTAAACAAATTGATTTCTGGAGCTGGCGATAGTCACATGTATAGCAGCAGAAGGGTGTATTTAATTTCCAATATAGACTAGCACAAAAACTAAACGGTATCCAAGCATAGCACTAAGATTTTTCCAGAGAAATTGTTAATCCCATAAAACCATAGAAGTGGGGCCATGCATTTTTTCTCAAGAGTTATGGATATACATCGTACTACAGGAGATGATGATCCTAGTTCCCAACCAAACCAGTGAAAATGAGATTTCACCTTTGGTGCAGTTTGTTTCTGTTTGAGCACAGCAAAGAACTTCAAAGGCTAGAGCAATTTTGAAATATCATATTCAAACAATTTAGTTACAGAGTACTGCCATATAAAGTTTAGATTAAGATATTTAAATCACATCTCTAAGTTTCATGAACAAATTCCAGCCTCCTAGTTTAAGATCAACTTAAAAACAACACAAAGTTATTCCAAAAATATTGATTCATGCCTACAATATTTGTGGAACATCTAAAGAGAGAGAATGAAAAAAAAAGTATACACAAATCCACAAAAACATTACTAATAATGAAGAAATCAAAAAATAATCAATATTGAAAATCTTGAATTTCTTAAGAGTAAATATAATTTTCCGAATTTTTTTTTTATCTTCTATATATCTTTGTAGCTTTTGTAATTTTTTTATTTATTTATATAATTTCAAATGGTGCATAGTATTAGCATATGGGCTGCTCATAAATTTCTGGGACCCAACCAACCAAAACGCGAAAGCGAAAAAATTGAAAGTCGTGTTTGGCACTCAGAAAATTGATTTTTGTAATTGAGAAAGTATCTACTGAGAGACGGAAGAAGAATCCAAGAAAGTACCTGCTGAGACTATTGAGAAAGCAACGCTACTGTCGCTACATATGAAGTGTTTGCTTTGCAGTTCCCGCTCCTGCTTCCTTCTTAGGTTAGGGTTGTTCGACTTCAAAGCGAGATGGGTGCGAAGAGCGATGAAAAAGCGAACATGGGTGCGTGTGCGATAGGCTCTATGCCGGAACAAAATAAAATTAGGGTTTCACGAAAAGGAGAACACAATCTTCCCGAGAAAATTATGTGATAGGATAGAAAATGAATTAAATGTTTTTGATCCATGGGCCAACCCTAACCCAGCCCAATAAATGAATGGATCTTATGGGTTAGGACTAAGATGGCCCTACCACACAAGGGGCTGAAAACGGATGGGGCTTTATTAGGGCTGAATGGGCTGGGCTTAGGGCTTAGGGCTTTTTTGCCAGCTCTATCCATAATGTATTGAGCTACCTTTTGTAATTTTGGTCTTGTTAGAAAATTAAAAGAAAGATCTACAACTTTTATATGAACCTCTAGATCTAAATCAATCATCTTCGATATAAGAATTTTCTTGGAAGATGATGAATCTCATGGATTTTCTCATGTAAAATATCACTACTAACAAGTCCATTCCACCATATTCTATAGATTAATATAGGAAATGAGGCATTTCTAATTCCAAATGGTTAAGTAAATGAACAATATATATATATATATATATGTGATAAACAAGTGTAAGATAACCTTATAAAATAGAATCATCAGTTGTTGGCTCACTCACTCCTTCATTGCAAGTGTCCTTCTTGACGGTATTTGAGCTTTTTCAACTCTAATCGATGCAACTTGAGAGGCGAATGAAGCCTTTTTCAAGTGGAACAAAAGGACTTATGAAGAAGGGCTTGAACGCTTCTCTTGCTAGGTACGACTATCAAGGTCTGCTATCTCCTTGATGCTCACAACATTGGTGCATGGAGTACGAGTTTGCATAGAGGAAGGTGCGTTCCCATGGGCAAAGACCTTGTATTAATAGGTAGGTAGAAGATGCTACTGTGGAGCATTAGCATATAAATTGCTACTCAAAGGCGTAAGAGATTACTCTCAATAGATGGCATATCGATAAAGCTTTATTTTTTGGAATACTGGCTAAAATGTCATTGTTCATCAACTTTTTTACCTAAATACCACGCGAACAGTATTATTTTTCAATATGTCACAGGGGCAAGTTCGCTACCCTGTGTAGCGAACTCGGTTTGCTGACGTGTCACATTTTTAATGGATAACAAGTATCAAATTTAAAAAAAAAAAAAAAATGAAGGTCGCCTCCCATGTTAGTGTCCACTAGAAACGTGACACGTCAGCAAACCTAGTTCGCTACACCGGGTAGCGAACTTGTCTCCGTGGCAGATTGGGAAATAACACTGTTCACGTGGCATTTAGATAAAAAAGTTGGTGAACAGTGACATTTTGGTCACTGTTATTTACTTTTGTGCATATCTTTACAATGGCTAAATGTTGTGATTCAAGCAACATGTGAAATTTGTAAATGTCAGTGCGATTACAAAATAAGTTTTGGACCAATCTAATTAATTAGAATGTCAGTTTAGGAAAATATCTTCAGTATTTCGGTAGCACTAAAGACTTGGGTATATCATTTTGTTAAAAATCACTCTTCATTAAATTTGACTAGCAATTGTGGGATGAAAAAAAAATTGGAAAAAAAAAAAAATAACACATATGATTTGATATGTTTTATCTGCTATTTATGGTTAATATCACCTAATTTTCGCTTTTATTCTCTTGGTCCACAACAAAAGAAATTAAGTAAAAGCTGACACCACGTTTAAAATGAAGAGCTGGCCAGAGGAAATGGAAAATCAACATGCAACATTCTTACATGCTTTCGGGGTAAGAAATATTCTTACTCTATACCATTTATTATTCATCCCCTCAACTGTAGAGCCATAGTTGTATCTACTTAAATTTCATTTTTTTTATAAACCACGGTTATCTTCTATTGGAGGTAATTTTGTTCGGAAAGAGTTCAAGATTAAGATTTTAAATCTCTTTCAAAGATAGCATTGAGGAGATCCAACATATACTCTCACCCCACCTGTTTAGCTCGCATATATCAACTGAACTATCATCATTTAGTTCAAATAACATGATAATAAAATCAAAAGGAAAGGTTGAAAAGTAAATTTTCAATCCATTGAATTATTTAGAGGATTTATTTATTTTTCTCACGTAAGAAACACCTATGAATCTCTTATGTTAAGATGGTTAAATGGATGAAGAATAATTTATCTAATATGGTGATAAGTTGAGGTGGCAACGCTATAACCCATGGAACAAAAAAATGACATATATGAGATTTTTTATAAATAAATATAGGTTTTAATATTTCTACTGTTATCTACATTCACTTTCAAAATGATGTCATTTGCGTCAAAAATTAAAAAATTATAATAAGAAAGACTATTATAATCATAAAATAAATTATAATTACAAAAATACCTTAATTTTTGCCTAAAATAAAATTATTTTGGGTTTAATATAAATAATTTATCTATATTGATTATTGACTGTAGAAAAGACAGACTCATAAACATATTTGATTCAAATTATAAAAAGAAAAAAATGAGTATAAATCATTCGAAAGAAAGTGTGGTGAGGCAGGCCCAGGCCCATTAATGTTGGGCTAAAATGGAAGAGCAGGCCAGGCCTTTTTATATATATAATATAAAGATGAAAATGAGAATGAGGAGGAAAAATAACAAGAGTGTTGTGTTGTGTTTGTGAAACTGAAAGGGGAAAAGGGGAAAAAAGCAAAGATGAGTTTGCGATGGTTGGAAGCAGTTCTTCCTTTGGGAATCATAGCAGGAATGCTCTGTGTTATGGGAAACGCTCAGTATTTCATTCACAAAGCTGCTCATGGCCGAGTCAGTCTCTCTCTCTCTCTCTATTTTCTTCTTTCAATTTTTTTTGTTATTTTATTTTCTTTTTGTATTCTCTATTTTCTAAATTTTGATTTGGATCTTTCAGCCTAAGCACATCGGCAACGATGTTTGGGACGTCGCCATGGAACGAAGGGACAAGAAACTCATTGACCAAGCTTCTGCTCCAAATTAACAAGGTACGTACACACTTTCTCTTTTATTCTCAGATTTACCTTTTCGACGCATGTGTCTCTCCTTGTAACAAGTATTCTTTTACAAATGCACTGTGTCCGCAACAGAATTTTATATGCAAAACATGAAAAATAAAAAATGTATACTATGTTATTTTGCCTATTGTGTGATGATTATGGATAAGAGCTAAGCTCGATTGGAATTTTAGTGATGGGAAATTACGAAAATGTGTGTCCTTGATGCACTACTCTGCATCTTCAGTTGTTAAATTGAGAAATTCATAGCGCGTCCATCCATGGCATACTGTTATGATGTTGTGATGATGAAAGCTAGACTAATAGGATTGTGGAGTGTGTTCATTTTTGCACTAGTATTGTCACTATCTTGCTCATGGTTCTTATAAATGCAATATTGGTTTGACTTTTGTTGTCAAATTGAGAAATTACTTGTTTCAGAAAGCTGGATATAAGAATGTCAATTGTTAAGCTCTTGTTTGTGCTTATGTGCTTTTCTGACTCGAAGATGAGTACTGAATTATTGTTACATTGTCCAGCAACAAGATATTTGTGGTGCATATCTTTGGGGGGGAACTGGATTCCTCAAGAGGTTGGAGAAATTTCTCATATGCCAGTTTATAGGTTTACGGAGGAGTAAAGAAGGCAACGTCCTTTTATTGTGTGCAGTATGTGCAGTGATTTGGTGCCTATGGTCACAAAAAAATTCTAGAATTTTTAATCGTTATTTCTTGCCATTTCCGTTTCTGTTGGATAAAGTAGTCTTCTTAGCTTCTTTATGGTGCTCACCTAGTGGCTATTTAGTGGGGTTTCTTTGTTGTATATTCAAACGGATTGGCAGGATTATTCTCCCTGATGTGCTTTTCATGTAGTTTCTTTGTTTTGGTTTGTGGTCTCTTTAGGAGGGTATCCTGTCATTTGCTCCTGTAATTTCTTTCTTCTGTGAAATTTCCTTTTATTGAAAAAAAGAAAAGGAATTTGTGACTTTGATACCTAAACGGACTACATCAGTTTATTTTTTCATGCTCATAGAAACATGTGTCTGTGGACTTTATTTTGAAGTGAGCTAACACTAACGGGTACTTTGAGCTAGATGTTTGATTTTCTTTATGTATAGAAGATTAGAAGTACATAAGAGAAATCTTAGTTTTCGTGTTGCAAAATGCAGGTTGTTTTCATCAATGTGCTTGTGAAGGGAATAAATTGCTTGTCCAGCTGTTCCAAGGAAGCAGGGTGGATCACTACGATTAAATTTCCATCTGTTTTCTTGTATGACATTTAACATAAGCTTTATAATATATATGAATGGTCTAATCAATTGCTTTCTCATTGTTGAACATGGTGAAATAGACTCGTGAATTGTGATAGCTTTGTGGGGCTTTGAGATATTTGTTGCCTTTTAAATCTTGAGTATTTTGTGCTTCGATATAAATCTTGATATTGATGGTTGATGAATAAATATATAATGCAGCCTGCACAGCTGCACTTCCAATCCATACCTGCACTAAACATGAAGATAAAATTGAAAAAAGAGGAGGGCACCATAGCAATTAATATTATCCATAGGCCGGGGTCATAGCTTGTTGAAGTTTATACAGAAGAAGGTATGAAATTATGAAAAGTACACAAGAGATAGGTTTTTGTGTGCGTGTTATAGATTATGAGGTGGTAATTTTTTACAAAAGTGTTTGGTGAAGTTAGGTTGCTCTAACTGCATGATCAGCCAGGGTGTCCCTTGGAAGGAAGAGGCACCAATGGATACCTTTCTTTCTGTGTGATTTTAGTTAGCTTATTGAAACCTCAGGCAAAGTGATGGATGAATATTAGAGCTGCAAGGATAATAATTCTGCAAACTTGATTGTTCTTTTTTTTTTAAAAAAAAGAAAAAGAAAATGAAACATCTTTTATGACATCCCCCGGGGCCCTTCCAAAAAATGCATCTTTTCAACAAATTTTTAAACCTTCTCAAACTCAATTTCGCATCATGAGGTTTGCGATTCTGTGTGAATGCCTTGCCAAGATGTTCTGCGCAGAAACTCTGATGCAGCTTTGGATTATGCTAACACTTGTGCTAGTGATTGAAGTCTGAAAGTTTGTTTGTTTACTAGTCGGAAGTATTGAAGTTATATGTTATAATAACTATTGTAGACAGGCATGCATATTTTTACCTTGTTTTGTAGAGTAATATCTTTGTAAAATTGTGTGTTCAGATTAGTTTATTTTGGAGTAAGAAAAGTTTTTGGGGCGAAAGTTCTCTACATGTTAATTGTAACTTTTTTTCTGACAACCAAATAAGGTAAAATGAATAGGAACACTAATTATTGTGGAGTTCAACAAGGGTGGACTTTCTTTTTTCTTTTTTTTCTTTTTTGTTTTGTTTAGTATTTTTTTTGCTTGAGAATTGACTTACATGGATGCAAAAGACAGATAAGCGCCATTCTCCTTATCCTGGAAAATAGAGGTGAGGATAGTCCCAGAGGTAAAAGCAGTTGACATCCATTTAAAGTACTTGAATGATGGAAATGAAGAATGGACCCTTTCAAATGGTGGAAAGTAGTCTAGAAGTACTGCTTTATGTGTAATGTGCATAGCTTCATACAGTAATCATTTTGTGTTGCATGAATCTTAGGTCCAGAAGTTCATTAAAAATAATAAAATTTTAAGAAAATGAGATCATTGATTGAATTTTTTTTGTTTTTTTAACAAGGAATGTTTCAACTTAAATATAAGTATTAAGATCCCGAAACAAAACTTGAGATTAAATGTTTTCTTAAAATTTAAAGGACAAATTATATAAAATCATCTTGTACTTGGTACTTTTTTAAAAGACCACTTTTTACTTTTAATTGAAACAATTAACCCCTTTGTACTATAGCATTCCAACAATTAAACATATTTAATAATTTTAAGATAATAATACCCTTACCCCAAATCCACTACTTCTAGTCGTGTATTTGGAGAATACTAGCTATATATATGAGAAAAATGGAAGCAAGGGTAAATCCACTTGTTAATATTGTTATTATTTTCCTCTTTATTTTTCAAGCTAGCTTATAAGTAACCTCTTAAATGGACTTTTCAATGCTTGTTGGAAGAAAAAAAATTGGTTATTCCGAGCGTTGTGTGCGTTGTCTGAAACAAACAGATCCATGTGTTTTTCTCTACTCAAGGAACATAGATTTAATTATGAGAGTCCAGTATGCTACTTTCTACATTTTTATTTTTGGAAGGTTTAGCGGAAAAATTTATGTATATTTGAAAAAAAATAAAATAGTTTCTTGTGCTTATAAAATTCATCAAAAAATAAATGGAATTGCCTAGAATTTTATATAAATTAAAAAATTTAGTTCCTTTTTTTTTATTGAAGGGATCAATTTGCAGTTTTCTTTAAAAATACTTCAAAATAAATCAAATATATGGTTCATCATCGAGGGCATTCTGTTTTTCCAGGGAATGTTGGCCGCCAAATGGTAGTAGCATGTGATAACGGAATATGATAGTTAATGGACGGTGGTAGGCAGTCAACGATCGAAGATGGTGGCCGAACAAAGTTGTTGCCCAGTGATGGGGTTGGGGACAAGGATATTTTTGTCTTAAAATTACTAAATATGTTTAATTATTGAAATGTTATAGTGCAAAGGGTTAATTGTTCCAATTAAAAGTAGAAGATGCTCTTTTGAAAAAGTACCTAAATACAAGGTGGCTTTATGCAATTTGCTCAAAGTTAAATGTCAGTCATCTAACTCATTATTAAATAGTAACTCAAGGATTTATGTTCACAAATAGAATGCCTCGTAGATGATCCAATTCATTGGTCGCCCTTCTACTTGCATAAGTCACTTGTTCTCGTATATAAGCACACATAATTTTATTTAAAAAAAAAAAAAACGATTTATTTACCCTCTCATTTTAGAAAGGAAATATAAAGCAGCTGGTCAAATTTCCAGGATGATGTATTTCTTTCCTTGGAGTGACGACTAACAAACTTTTATTTCAATTACGAATACAAGCATTTAAAGTGTTAGAAAAAATATCTTGAATATCTTTATTATTTGTAAAGATTTATTTTTTTATTTCATTAGAATTTAGATTAGGTATGGGCTAACCTCATTAGTATTTCTTTATATATTGTAGAATCAATTCAATATACAGATTTATTACAATGTTCTTTTTGTCTCTTGTTATTTTACATGGTATCAAAGCCTAACGAGAGGAATCCTTGTTCGCCTTTCCTTACTCTTTTTTCATAATTTTAATATGGTAGTAGAGAGATATCACCCTCCGCGAGGAATTGGCTTCCCGTCTGTTCCCTTTCTCTCTCTACTTCTCTTAGTTTCTTCTAGCTGTGTTTTCTTCTTCTTCGGTGATTTGTTATTTTTATTTTGATTTTCTTTTATGGCTTGTATTTGGCCAATTTTATTTTATTCTCACACATGCTTGTGGTGTTATTCAAGTCTGATTTGGCTTGTATTTGATTTATTCTTTCCATTATTTGGCTTTATTTTGGCCTCCCATTCAGGGGAGCATTTATCTTCGTTGTTGCCTGGTCCACGGATTATCCTAGTTATACTGGCTCTGTCGGCTTGTATTCGAGTTATAACATTTATCTCCATTGTTTCCTGGTCCGCGGATTATTCCAGTTACACTGGCTCCGTCTGCTTGTATCCCGGTTGCAGCAATGTCTTTCCCAGCCCTTTTGGCTGATGTCTTTCTCAGTTGTTGCCTGGTTCGCAAATTTTTCCAGTTGAAGTGGCTTCGTCGGCTTGTATCCCAGTTGCAGCAATGTCTTTCCAACCCTTTTGGCTGATGTCTTTCCCAGCCCTTTAAGCTGATGTCTTTTTCATCTCTTCAGACTGATGATCATTCCAGTTGATTTGCTGTCAATTTCTTCGACTTATATTCCATGAAGCATCCTTTTAGTTTTCTTTCTTCTCAAGATGAAGTGTCCCTCCATCTTGAGGGGGAGTATTTGAGATATAGATAATATTTTATTTTAGTTTATAATATTGATATTTTTCTTTAGGGTGAGTTGTAGAATTGTTACAACCCCCACTCGTTTATTTTCATGTTATGTTTCTTAGTCTTTCTTGTTCAAGCTTATTGCTTATGATCTATACGCTCCAGCTTGAGGGGGAGTGTTAAAAAGAATATCTTTAGAATATCTTTATTATTTGTAAAGATCTATTTTCTTATTTCATTAGAATTTAGATTAGGTATGGGCTAAGCCCATTAGTATTTCTTTATGGGATTTGCATTCATCATGCAACATGAAAAAAAGAGTTTCCTACACATATAACATTTTGTGGGGCCGGCATTTTTTGAAGCAAAAAAAAAAAAAAAAACTAAGGCACGAAAAAGAATCTCTATAACATGACACAATCACTTTTCCTGCAACATAACTCTTATAAAACCCTTTCTTTATATATTGTACTCTCCTGAATCAATTCAATATATATATTTATTTCAATGTTCCTCTCGTCTCTTGTTATTTTACATAAAGATATTTCCATTATTTTTCATATAGATCGAATATGTCTCAAATAAAAAATAAAAATAGTTTGGTGTTGAAGATGCTACGCTGTGGACGTGATTCCTTCATCAATAATCTTATCTCAAGCAATGTTATGTTAACAGATCTTGTTACTGATCTGATTGGGGTATTGGGTCACTGATTCAATAAGTGAATTTTCGGTTGAATCGCATGACCTGTGTTGGTATATGAAAACTTATATTTTATACATAAAAATACCTAAATACATGTAAAAAAAATGTTATGCAGGGTTGCAAACATATATAATTTTTGTAGGGATAAAAAAAGTCATACATGATAATCTCATATAGTATATTGTAAAACAAATAAACACAGAAAAAAAAGAAAATTTAAGTATCAGATAACCACATATAATTCCTCTACCAAATATCCTCAACTAACCATGTCTAATAATTATAAGTCATTTACTCACAACTCTTCATATAAAAATGAATTTGCAAGGAATCAATATGTAATCTTATCTTGATTTATTATTCCACAAATTGCTTCCGTCTTTGAAGCTAAAATTTGAGGTTACTATATGAGAGTATACTACTAGCAAATAAAATTATAAAAAAGTTTGAAAGAAGTTCCATACTTTTTTAGGACAAGACAAGATAACTTTTTTTCTTTCTTTTTTTAATAAAAATGCATGACCTCCCAGTTTTGATGACCCGACCAGGTCAACGATTTTGATAATACCTGGCCGGTTCGAACCAATTTTCACCGGATCTGATACATGACCGGTCCAATATTTGACTCGAATCAATCATCGAGTTTTGAGTCGACCTGACCGGTTCGCGCTGAGTTTGATAACACTGATCTCAAGGCATTTCTCTTCTTTGTTCCATTTGGTTGTTTATTACATTGAGATGAGTATTGACTAGAACCAAAAACAAGTAGTACTGGTTATGTTATTTAAATGAGGTGATCTGTTTTTCTCATGTTGCATAAGAAAACAACCCCTCCTACACACACCATAAAAAGATGTACCACTCTTTTTTTTGTTTTTTGTTTTTTGTTTTTTTTTTTAAATAGGTTGATCCCACACTTAATGTATCTATGACATGATATTAGGATCTTCCTACAATATAAGATTTATTTTTTCCTTAAATGAATGGTTTAATGTTTTTCATGTTGTGGCGGTGGCGAAGCCATGTTGGGTGAAGAGAGTGCCTTGGCCTTAGCTTATTTTCATAAATTAGCCACGCTTAAATAACCTTTCACGTTTTAGTATTTGACATCAGCTAAATTCTCTTTGACCCTAGCTGAGTTGGGGAGCTAGCTCAGCCACTATATTGTAAGAAATAAATTTATATCTTACACATACATAAAATTGTGTGGGATTCATGTGAGTCAATGTGAGAAGAAGAGAGAGAAAAAAAATATGAGCACAGTGTACTTTTATATATGTGTAAGAAATAAATTTATCTCTCATAATATAAGAAAGATTAAACCCTTGAAAGAAATCAAAGGAATTTCACCGAACCATAAATATAAACTACAGATTTCATGTGCTTTGGTCACTTGAAGGTTAAGGATAGAAGCAATTCAACTTACATAATATATTGCTGGGTTTTATTTAAGTGGCGTGGCGAGCAAGATTCAGGGCATCGCACTTCAACTGGGAACGACAAAGAGAAGTAATAATAGTAAATGGTTGATGTTTGAGTCTTGACGGCTTCACACCTTAAAGTCATATAAAATTTATTGGATTCATTATTGGCCATGCGCTTTGTTAAGTCTTATGACTAAGTTGTCGAGCTGAAAATAGAGTGACAGAGGGCGACACCGTGATAATAGCACTTTGCCGCGTTTTTGGACGTAGTTTGACGTGTATGTGTTTGACCTATGATCCTTGAAAATTGAAAACCAACCCATTTAACTATTCAAGCATTCACACCGTACCAAATGGGGAAGGGAAATCATTCTTTTAAATAAATTATGTGCACGGACTTTCACATCGAGTATTACTATCATTGATATAAATGAATGAGAGAGATGAAAATGAAAGGGAAAGACATGGATGGGGATGATTTTGTTTTTATTGAACAAGTTATTTTTTATGTGCAACTAGTACAGTTCACGGGAAAAAGGAGGCTGTTTATTTATTTATTAATTTTCCCTGTGCTTCTTCTAGTGGAGAGAGGAGAAGAAGTCATTCCAAGCAAAAGTATGAACATAAATGTGCTGTCGGCACTCGGCAGATCTTGATATTTATTTGCTGTCTCTTTGGTCACTCTGCCATTTGTCTGCTTGGTAGCAAATTAGGAGACTAGGAATGTACAATGAACACACCTGCAAATGCAATTCCTACTCCAAATTTCCAATACTTTTATATATAATTTAATTATTAGCCTTTTGTCTTCTTCATGGTCAATTTCTAAGCTTCCATTTCCATTTTTGCTAGTTATATACTTATATTATACAATAATACTTTTATATATATATGAGAAAGTGTTTGTCATTTTAAATTATATAAAATTAGGATTTATTTTCTTCGTGTTGTAGGAAAATAATACGTCTTTCCTACGCACACAAACATAGAGAAGAGAGAGAAAAGAGTGGTGAGAGAAAATAAAAAAAAATGGAACCCACGTGCTTTTGTGTATTTGTAGGAAAGTGATACTATTTTTCTACAATATGATACTTATTTTTCCTATAAAATTATGTCATTTTAAGAGAGATAAGCACAAAAAAATATTTTTTTATTTAAAATTTAAATTAAAAAAAAATCACTCACTTTCTTCTCTATGATTTTCATTCTTTGTGTTTATCTCTCTCCTAAAATAACATAACTTATGTCTTTTAAAAGGACAAACATCAAACCCATATATATATATATATATATGGGGCAGGATATTCTTACACCGGTGTAAGAGTTAGAAGTCTTACACCCAATCTTGACCATTGATCCACTTGTATCCAATGACTCACATTACTAAAAAATTAGATCCCTTAGATATAAGTAGGATCAACAGATAAGATTAAAAGTGTAACTTACACTAGTGTAAAATGATCCTGACCCTATATATATATATATATATATATATATATATATATAACATGATCCTTTGACACTTCATATAAGAGTCGTTGATCTTGTCTTGATTTAATGGCTCTCAGATAAGGTGTCAAGGATCCTACCCCTAACCATCTTTTTTTTCTTGGATATAATTACACCTACCTCCTTTATCTTTCTTATTTTTATGTTTTGTTCTTATATATGAACTATATGCAAAGTTTCCTTTAAAATAATAAAGTAAGAGAGATGGGTGTAATTTTGTAGAACAAAAATGGTGTAAGTATAATCAAGGCTAACCTCAACAAAGAGAACTGTTTCCTGTTATATATTTTTTATTGTAAGATACTGCATCCTACCCAAATCCTATTAGGAAGACAATGCCAACAAAAGCAGAGAGCAGCAGGCAAAAGAAGTACACATTGAATTTCCAAGAATGCTTTCTTCAGGAGCAATATTATGGAATGAGAACTGGTGACGGAGAGAATAAGCATTTGTGTGCCCACAACATTCATACCAAGTTATTCCTTATAGATCACGCCCATAGAGGATAGTAAAAATAATTCAAAATGTAGGTGCTACATTTTTATTCCTTGTCAATTTGAACAACTGAATCCATCACATATACAATCACTTTGGGCTGCTACATTCACACCACAATGAATCATGAAGGAGATAAACAGATTTACACAAGAATATTGTATTACCACCGGTATAAACTAACCAAGAGCCTAAGCAAACGAACGGGGAGAAGCGACACCTCCAAAAAAAGGTGTGTTCAGAAGAATTTCTGAATACATTAATTGAGCTTGAATATGAGTTGAACAGCAACTGAAGATTATGCAAAAATAGGGTGTCAGGGTGCATATTCTTGTTCAAGGATAGGTTGTGTTCGAGTAACTGTTGCAGCAGGTGCTTTCGTATCCCCAACAGATGCCATATGAAGAGGTTCTCCCCCCTCTGCAGCCCTTTCCATCTGTTGTATTTTCTTGTTTTGCTTGCACTTGAGCACCCACAAAACTAGTAACCAAAACAAAACCAACAACACAAGTCCTCCCAGGACAGACCCAAGAATAATCCAGACCTTCTTGTTACTCTTGTTCTCCCCTTGAGCACTTGGTACAGGGGCAGGAGAGGCTGGTGATGGTGTAGGACTAGGAGGAGGAGCAATGTACTCAACCACTAAAGAGAAATGGCCCTGCTGGGAGGTAGAGCAAGTGTTGGCTCCTGTTACATTGCTGAAATTGTATGAACCTTGTAAATCAAACCAAACACATTTTGCAATGGTGCCATGAGGAGCAGATTTTACATCCTGGAACTTGACTTTGATGGGTTCACCGGATGCATTTACATCCAGTTCTGATAAATTTGTAGCCGACAAATTGGAACCACTATAAGCAAGAAGTCCTAGAATAGGGGACAAGTAAGTATAATTTGGCAAAGGGTAGTACCTGGTTGACCAATTACCCAAATTTTGGTACACCAAAACAAGCCTTTTTACATAAGGTTTCTCAATGAGTCCCTTGGGAATTTCAAATTCGTTGTACATTGGAAAACCTCTTCTCCTTAAACTGCCACTCCTTAATCTCAATGCAGCAACCTTAACCCCAATCAAATTGGAAGGAAGTTGAGTGGCATTATAAATGGTACCTGTTTTTGGTTTGACCAAAGCCCTATAGGCATAATCTTGGAGAATTGCATCAAGGGACGACTTAGCTTGGGTTGTGGCAGCTCTGACATGGGGATGTGGGAGTGAGTGAAAGCATATAAGAAGAACAAGCATCGCGAGACTCCGAAGAAGAAGCCCCATCGATGCTTGGGATCACTGGCTGCACTGTGTTGTTGATGTTGATATGATATGATATGATATATTTGAACAATTGGTCCAAAGAAAATCACCTGAAACGAAGGGTCTTCAAAGAAAAAAAGGGGTGTAGGAGTTGGAGGCAAGTTTTGATTTTGTTGTGAACAACGGGAAGGGTATAAAGAACAATATTCTCCCCAGTTTATAAAGCAGCTTTGAAGGTTTCAACCGTTGCAACTATTCCTCTTCACTTTCAGAAATGGAATAATAATGATAAAAGGCAATTAAGTCCAAAGACTCACTTAGCACAATGGAATCTTCTTCTGGTTCTGGGCATTTGCCTTTGCATTTCATTCTTCTCCTCCTCCTGTGAAAAATTGACCTACTCCAAAATGAAAGAAAAAAAAGGGATAATTGAGTTGAGACAATATAAGGATGAAGATTGAGGAGGCATTTGAGAAACTAAATACCTGAAAGTTGAAAGCCCTAAAATATTAATGGATTCAGAATAAGCTATTTGTTGAATGTGGAGTTGAATGGTGATGACCACCCCATGTAGTGTCAGTATGAACAGCAAAAGCAAAAAGGCAACAATCTTGAATCCTTGTTGGTTATGAGTGGGAGTGAAGAAGAATCAGAGTACCCCATTACCATTAAGATGCATTTTGTATGGGTAAATCCAAGTCCAAAACTGGGAAAGAGGTGGATCATGCTCTGCTTCGATTGATTTCGAAATTGAGGAAACTAAACTGGGAGGGGAATGGAATGGCTCAGCTCAGCTCAGCTCTACAACAAAGGAATTCAAAGAACCAAAGGCTTCTTCTTCTTCTTCTTCTGAGGAAGAGGAAGAGGAAGAGATAAGTTCGTGTTTGTTGAGTTGTTGAGGTCCACTCGACACTCACCTCACCACCGCTGAAAAACACAGAACAAAAGCACAAAGCAGCGTGTGTGTGTGAGTGTGTGTGTTTGTCTTTGTGGCCCCTGGGTAAGTAAAACACCAACATTGTAAAAACCCAAATCATACTCCTTCCTCTTTGTATATTGAAAATTATTTTTCAATCTACCTTTAATGCATAAACATTCTAAAATATTTTTATATTGCGATAGGTTATTCTACTTCTCATTTTTTCTATCTATTTTTACTTATCATTTTCTCTAACACTGTTAGATCAGAATCTCACTAAAAGAAAAAAAGATAAAGATTAATTGAGATTCTGATATGATCTAATGGTATTTCAGAGTGGTAAGCCAAGGTAGGTCGAAAAAAAAGTAAGTAAAATAACTTATTCCTTTTATTGCTTTAATGTTTATAAGGTGAATATAGATAAGTTATCTACATTCCTTCCCGAAACGACGTCGTTTTGGGTTGAAAAATTTAAAATTATAATAAAAAAATTATTATAACTCTAAATTAAATTATAATTACAAAAATACATTGATTTCCGCCTCAAAACGATGTCGTTTTGGGCTCAACGTAGATAAGTTATCTACATTTAATTGTAGAAAAAGCAAACCATATTAATATATTTTTAGGTTTTACTTATGTAATATGAAAGAAGTTATGTTATATTTTGAGACAAATGATGTGGGGTTCATCAATTTAAAAAAAATAAAGAAGCATATCTTTTTAGGGAAAAATGTTTGTTATTTTACTTTTTATTTTTTTTGTAAGTAGTGTTTGTCATTTTAAATGACATAAAATTATGTCATTTTAAGAGAGATAAACACAAAATAATTTTTTTATTTAAAATTTAAATTAAAAAAAACCACTCACTCTCTCTCCCATGATTTTCATTTCTTGTGTCTATCTCTCTTCTAAAATGACATAAATTATGTTATTTAAAATTACAAACATCAAACCTTTCTTTTTATATGAGTATAACATTATATATGAATCTTATGCATCGTAAAAGTATAATTTCTCAATATTTTTAAAGGAATTTTTTTTGTTTTTACTACAAAAAATATATTTTTTTCTATCATATTAAAAAAAATGAGGGGATCTCATTATAATGAAAAAAAATTAATAAAATAAAAAGGACCCCCTCATTTTCGTACACCAAAAATAAATTAAATAAAACAATTTTTTTAATAATAGATTAAAGTATTTTTTGAGTCCTCAATAAAAATTACTGGCTCATTTTAATCACTTAGGAAAAACAAAGTCTACTTGTGGTTACTCTTAAATTCGAAATAGATTCAGATAGACAAAATCATGGTCCCATTGAAATTCAAAAAAGACTTATGTTAATCCCTTAAAAAAACTAACATATGTATATTTTGAATTTTAGAGCAATCACGAGTTAATTTTTTTTTTAAATGATTAAATTGAATCTCGTGATTTTTGTGAAGAATCCAAAAGATATTTTACTCTTACCAATATCAGTCTAGGCTTTATGCTATAGCTAGAGGGGAAAAGAAACTATTTTTTTTTTTTCAATTCTTTTGGCTTGCGTTGAGGTCAGCCATTAATCTATTAGGAATATAATTTTGAAACAAAATACAAAAAGAAAAAAATAAAGAAAAAACATTATTTAGCAGGTTAGTTCGCTAATCCGTGGACCATAACTTGTTCAAACCGCATGTTAAATGCTTGTAACCTTTAAAAATCCTAATCCACGTAATTTGCACGCTAAACAATTGGACTCGTGAGCCTTTATATTTATATATATATATATGGGAAAAATATTTCTCAAGCTGTTTGAGATAAATTTATCTCCGGTCAACCCAAAACTACGTCGTTTTAATTATTTATTTTCTTATATGTATTGATTCACCTTTGAATGGTTATGATTCTTCTTTTCTCTCTCTTCCTTTATCACCATTGATCCATTTTTGTACGGTTATGATTTAGTAGTCGGAGATAACTTTATCTCCGGCAGCTTGAGAAATGATAAGTCCTATATATATATATATATATATATATATATATATATATATATATATATATATATATATATATATATATATATATATATATATATATATATATATATATATATATATATATATATATATATATATATATATATATATATATATATATATATATATATATATATATATATATATATATATATATATATATATATATATATATATATATATATATATATATATATATATATATATATATATATATATATATATATATATATATATATATATATATATATATATATATACCGGACCGATTCAACCCGGAAACCGGTGATCTTACCAGTCCGGGTAAGCTAAAGAATCGGACATGCAAGCCGACCGGCATAACCCGTGCAACTCGGCCGGGTTTATTAAAACCGGTGAGCTGCTGGTTCACCGAGTCCAACCGGTCTTTGCCCTTCACAGCCTTAAGATGGAGGGATTCACAGATCTAGTGACGGAGGACACAAAAATCAGAAAAGAAAAATGAGTTACAACAACAAACAAGAATCTGGTTGCCATGTCTGTCAAGAATGAGTTGCCTCAAACGCTTGCTTCTCTTCTTCAGGCGGACTGGAATATCTTGGTCAACTCTTCTTCATGGGTTACGAAACTTCCACCGATTTTCCAAAGAATAGAAAACGTTTAAAGTTTTGCTTGGTTGGTGTAACAAATAATAGAAAATGTTCTGGTGATCTCTCTTCATGGTGTAACAATGGATTACAAAATGTTGTTCTCTCCACCGAATAGAGAACATTTCGTTCTAAAAAATAGAATGAAAAGGAAAAGTGGGTGAATGAATGTGAAAATTGAAAAGACAAGAGAGAAGAAAATGTGCATTGATACAAGTATCGAGAAAGTGTGCTCAGTAAAATTGATTGAGAGATTGGGACTTGGGAAGGGCTCTAGGTTTACGAGAATTTTAGACTTGAAAATTGCTTTTGTTTGCCACAATTTTTGCTGGATTTTAATTTTTGGGCTTTAATAAGTGGGCTAATTAGCTTAAACCCAAAACAAAGAGTCATTTTGTGTTAAAATATAAAAAAAAAATCAAGAAAAAAGCTCATTAGGAGTTGTGCACTATTTAAGTAAATTAAAGATTTATTTTTTATATTAAAATATTTGAAATTGATATTATTTTTACATGTATTTGAGTATGTTTATAATTTTTTTTAACATAAATTATAAATTTATATATATTTATCGGGTCATGCGGTTTAATCAGTGACCCACTGGTTGAACTAGTGACTCAGTGACCCAGTACCTTGACCAGTTCAATAACCAGGTCGAGTTTAATAACATTGGGTAGGATCCTTTGACACTAGTGTCAAATTTGAAATTTGACACCTCATCTGTGAGCCGTTAGATAAAAAAAGATCAATGACTCTGATTTGTAAGCATGTGACACCATTGATCTTTTTTGATCTAACAGCTCTCAGATGAGGTGTCAAAATTGAAATTTGACACCGGTGTCAAAGGATCCTACCTCTCTCTCTCTCTCTCTCTATATATATATATATATATATATATATATATATGGGCTTATCATTTCTCAAGCTGCTTGAGATAATGTTATCTCCGGCTACTAAATCATAACCATACGAAGATGGATCAACGGTGATAAAGGAAGAGAGAGAAAAAGGGAATCATAATCATTCAAAGGTAAATCAATTAATATAAGAAAATAAATAAACAAAACGACGTAGTTTTAGGGTGGCCGGAGATAACATTATCTCAAGTAGCTTGAGAAATGTTTTTCCCTGTATATATATATATATATATATATATATATATATATATATATATATATATATATATCAGGTCTGCATTTGTCATTCAACATTACACAACAAACTTTCCTACACACACAACATTTTGTGGGACCCGCACTTTTTGAAGAAAAAAAAACTACGGCACGCAAAACGAATCTCTATAACATTACACAATCATTTTTCCTACAGCATAACTCTTATAAAACCCATATATATATATATATATATGGAAAAATATTTCTCGAACAGCTTTAGATAAGTTTATCTCCGGCCACCTCAAAACTACGTCGTTTTATTTATTTATTTGCTTATATTAATTAATTCACCTTTAAATGGTTATGATTCCATTTTTCTCTCTCTTCATTTATCACCATTGATCAATCTTTGTACAGTTATGATTTAGTAGCTGGAGATAAAATTATCTCAAGCAGCTTGAGAAACGATAAGCCCATATAAGAAAAAACATTTCTCAAGCTGCTTGAGATAAAATTATATATATATATATATATATATATATATATATATATATATATATAATTTTACCTATATGTTTAAGGAAAAAGTCCCATAAATGGAATGGGAGAAAGAAATAAGGAATAAAGGATAAAAGTTAACCAAATGATGGTAGCTCAGCTAGCACCAGGGAACTGAATAGGTAGAAGTGAGAGCATGAATTTGATTCTCTCCAGTACCATTGTTAGGAGGGATTTAAAGCCTTAATTTCGGGACTAGCCCCTAATTGGACTAATTGCGAAACGATAAACCAATTGAAATATCCACACAAAAAAGGAAGGAGGGTAGGAGTTGAAATAAAGAGCATTTGTAAAAATTGTGTTATGTAACTTATGTTGCTCCAAAAGTCTTTTTACATCCTTGTTTTGCATATGTACCAAATTGTCCTCTCCCGAGTCCAAATTTTGTAACATTAGGTATGTACTATGTGTCAATATCAACATGCCAAAAATGATTGTTTTGGAGTCTGACAATTCTTAGCCCGACCTCAAATTCAATTAACCCAGCCTTCTTCAGGTCGACCTGTGGAAGTGTTGGTGAACAATAATAGCAAATCGAATTAAAAACAGAGATAGGGAGGAAGAGAACACCAAGGATTTTAACGTGGAAAATCTCTTCGATGTGAAGAGTAAAAACTAAGGGACCAAGTCCAAAAAATACCCACTATGAATAATGAGATTTACAAAAGATTCTCTCTGGCTCAATAACCAGAGGACTTCACCCTTTAAAGGATGAATCTACT